AAAGTATCCCAAAAGGCACTTGTGCAAGAGGTCAGGCTTTCTCAGTAAAGTCATTTGAGGTCAGGTTTCCTCAATAAAGTCAAATTCCCATTTTTATTTATTGTGTCCGTAACATATGGCTGATGCGATTAGGGCAGCCACCATAAGTCTTTTGACAATTGTAATTATAACAGGCCGGGCTTCGCTTCGTGTTAGCCTGGCTGGAAAAAAAGTTGCATAATATGTTGATATTTATAATTTTTTGAAATTAAAGGTAAATTGTAAAACTTACCTTAATAAAATTCTTATAAGATCCTTTAGACGTTAAAGCTTAGTCAATTCATCAATGCCCCAAAACATGATTCATTCTCTTACAATATGAGGATGAAACTAATATTTTCATTATGGTAAGAAAAATGAATTAAAAAGATGTTTACAAGTTAGCTATCAGTAGATATATAAAGCTACTTGATAGACTAACTGACTAATGAAACAGAAACTAACAATTTTAACTAACTGTAAACTAAAAATAGAAAGGAACAACAGAATAACAGATGGTCCAGCTAAGTGAATAAGTAAATGGGCCAAGTGATCTTAACACCCCCCCTCAAGTTGGGAGGTGAATATCATGAAGACCCAACTTGCTCATGAAATCATGGAATGGAGCAGGATGCAATGCTTTGGTGAAAGTATTTGCCAACTGTTGTGTGGTTGAAATAGGAAGCAAATGAATTAAACCAGCTGGAATTTTCTCCCGCGTGATATGACAATCAAGTTCAATGTGCTTGCTACGTTCATGAAATGAAGGATTGTGAGCCAAGTGATTGGCAACTTGATTATCATAGTAAATCATAGCTAGAGCCACTGTATTCCCCATGTTAGTGTAGCTACTGCTCTGTATTCCGCCTCTGCTGATGATCTACTGACGGTGCTTTGTTTCTTGGATTTCCATGATATTAAAGAAAAGCCAAGAATGACACAAAAAACTTGTGGTTAATCGTCTAGTGTCAGGGCACGTTGCCCAATCAGCATCTGTAAATCCACGAAGTGATGAATGATTTTCTGATGGGAAGAATAATCCTTTTGCTGGGCATCTTTTCGAGTAACGAAGGACTCTACATGCTGCTTCAAAGTGAAGTTCCATGGGATTAGCTACGAATTGGCTCAATTGCTGGATTGCAAAAGAGATATAAGGTCTTGTGTTCGTCAAGTATAGCAACCTACCCACCAATCTCTGATAGCAAGCAGGATCAAAAAAAGGCTTTCCTTCATTCTGTTTAAAGCGAATACCAGGTTCCATTGGAGTAGATGATGGTTTTGCACCAAGCAAACCACTATCAGTGAGTAATTCTAATACATACTTACGTTGATTAAGAACCGGCCCTTGGTGAGATCGTGCCACTTCAAGACCAAGAAAAAACCTTAATGGTCCAAGATCTTTTATTCGGAATAAATTGTCCAAGTGATGCTTAACAGATTTGATCTCCCCTATATCATTCCCAGCCAAAACCATGTCATCTATGTATATAAAAAGAGCTGTGAATGATTCACAATTAGTTTTGACAAAGAGTGAGTGGTCAGCAGCTGATTGACAGTATCCCAATACCTTGAGTTCAATGGTTAATCTAGCGTTCCACTGCCTGCTGGCCTGCTTGAGGCCATATAAGGATTTTGTAAGTTTGCATACATGTTTTGGACTAGAAGAGATAACACCTTCAGGAACTGTCACGAATACTTCTTCAGATAAGTCTCCATGCAAGAATGCATTATTTATATCAATCTGTTCAAGGTGCCAATCATGTGCAGATGCCACAACAAGGGGTAATCGAATACTGGTTAATTTCGCAACAAGGGAAAAAGTTTCAAAATAATCTAACCCTTCCATTTGATTATATCCTTTTGCCACTAACTGTGCTTTGTAGCGAGAAATTGTTCCATTTGGGTTATGTTTTATTTTGTAAACCCATTTGAACTGAATTTTTCCATCTCCTTATTAGAACTGATCATTCTAATTATAGGGCTTTGAGGGTTAGAGCTCACAATAGACATATTGGGGTTTTAACTCTGACTGTGGTAAAATAACAATTTGTGCATAATCTAGACATAGGCTTGTATGAATTGCAGACTTTTTAATTCATCCACTTAATGCTTGATTCAAGAAGGATTACTAGGACACTAGAATTCTAATTGGGTTAAAGGGTTAAATACACTAAGATATTAGGGTTTAACTAATTAATTTGAGCAAGATGAATTGTCTGAATTAGTGAGTTAATTAATTATAAGAATTAATTCAGATTTCTAAAGGAGGATCAAAGGTAAAGTGTAGCCTGGCTACAGTTTGTCATTACAATTTCTTTGCTCGTATCTTTTCTTTGCGTTCTTGCTTATTCTTGAATGTTCTTGCAATTATTTTTTGTTCTTTTATTTTTATTTTAATTCAAAAATTATTCTCAACAACCAAATTGATTTGTCCAAATTAAAGGGACTAGTTAGGATAATACTTGGTGTATTAATCCTCGTGGGAACGATACTTTACTTCCACTTTTATTACTTTAAACGATCGGTATACTTACCGATTTCGCAACAAGTTTTTGGCGCCTTTGCCGAGGATTAATTTACGCCAATATTATTCGTAGCTTTCGATCTTTAAGATTGGACTTTTATTTATTTGTTTGTTTTATTTTATTTTTATTTTATTTTATTTCAGTTTTTAAATTTTTAATTTTTTATAATTTTTAATTTTTTTATAATTTTTATTTTTTTTGTTCTCTGTGATATACATTTTTTTTTTTTGGAAAACAAGGAAAATAAAACAAAACCAAAGAAAGAACAAGCTAGGGACCCATCTCGGGGCAGCAGCAACCGTAAGGTCATTCAACAACAGCGATAAACAAAAAGGGGGAGGGTCATCGTAGATGGAGGTCTCCCAACCCTGCAGAAGCGCCTCTGCAGCCAAGCGGTCAGCAACTGAGTTCCCCTCCCTAAAAGTATGGGATAACTTGATCTCCCAAGGATTGCTCAAGAGTGACTGAATCCTTCTAACGAGCGAAGACAAAGGGTTATGGGCCACACAACCTTTGGAAACAAGCTGGATAACCGAAAGAGAGTCATACTCCACCCAGAGCTTTGGATACCTCCTCTCCCAAGCGAGGTCCAGCCCTACAAACAAGCTCCACAGCTCCGCTAGGAAGGAATTGCCACAGCCAAGGAATTTCGAAAAACCTAGCAACCAAGCTCCTTCGCTGTCTCTAATTAAGCCGCCACAACCCATCTTATTGGAATCACGAGAACAAGCTCCGTCTGTGTTAAGTTTGGCCCAAGCAAGCTCCGGAGGGGACCATTTAACAAAAATCTCTTTTTTTTGGTTCGGATGGATACCCGCCCCCAGTAAAATAGAGTCAGCCAACTCCATATTAGAAACAAATAGCCTAGCACGGTTACAGATCCCAAATTGGCTCGAGTAGGTTCTGTTAAAGATGAGACTATTCCTTTCTTGCCAAATGAGCCAACAGGTGACCCCAAACAGTTTAGGCCAGGTAGAGTTTGCAAATTTCCTTCCGGAAACAGAGAGGTTAGACTTTAACCATTCATAGAAGGTAGGGATAGAGTTGTTAAGGTAGAAATGAGAGGCACCAAAATACAACCAGATGGGTCGAACCTAGATACAGCTCAGAAAAATATGTGAGTTATCTTGGCTACCGCATCTTTGGAGGAAGGTAGTTGAAATTCCACTAGATTTGGAGGAAGAATTGCTTGACATTGAAGACGCAAAACTTTTTGGGGGTGAATATGCAGAGGATCCTCACGATCTAATAGATAAATTTCTGAATTTCTGCAATGACATAAGGATAGACGGAGCCACTGAAGACTCCATTAAGGTACATTTCTTTCCTTTCTTTCTGAAAGATAGAGTTAAGACGTGATTGAAGACTCAACCTCGACGAAGCATCACCACATGGAAGGACATAGAATTCAGATTTCTGAGCAAATATTTCTCACCATCGAAAGTCACAAAGACTAAAAAGGAGATCGAGTCCTTCGCACAAAAGGAAGGAGAACATTTATATCAAGCTTGGGGTAGACTTAAGAGATTATGCAGAAAATGCCCAGTTGAAGATTGGGAATTTGTTCGCATTTTATACAGCGGTATGTGCCCACTTTCAAGAATAAAATTAGATCTGGCAAATGAAATACCATTTTACACTAGGAAACCTGAAGAAGTTCTTGCGCTGATCGAGGGAGTGGTTTACGACGAATACCAAGCACTCAACGACCAGCTAATAGTTAAGCAATAAGTTGAGGAGAAGTCATCCATTCTAGCTCAAGAGAATTATATAGAAAATGCCGCACCTCTTCTCAAGCAACTCACTGAAGACATTGAGGAAAATTCATACTTGAAGGATCAGGATGTGACAATAGCTACTAAAGAATTCGAAACCGAGGAGGAATCTACTACACAAGAAGAACCCAAAGTTGAAGGAGAAGAAATTGTACCTTTTACAAACGACATTTTGTTCTTTGACACCAGAGCCATAGTCATGGCTCTAGCCCAACCACGATAATTCTTTCCATTCGTAAGTGCAGAAACTAAAACAAGTGATGGATTTTCACTTGGACGGAGGAAATATGGATTTCCTGGATCAGAAAGATCAAAAGCGTTACTTCGATTACTGATATTTTCTTGCCTCGTAGGTGGAGGTTGATTATTCTCAAGAACATCAGTTTCAATGATCGGAACGGAACCCTGATTCGCCATAGTATCGATTCTTGAATCAAAGAAAAAACTAGAAAAGTGGAGAATCTAGATATGACTTAAATGAATCAAGAAAATGGAGGCGAAAATCAAGAGAGGCGAAAATCAGAGCTCCGCGAAGAGCTTTGATATCATATTACAATATGAGGATGAAAATGATATTTTCATTATGGTAAGAAAAATGAATCAAAAAGATGATTACAAGTTAGCTATCAGTAGAAATATAAAGCTACTTGATAGACAAACCTGATTACAGTGATCTTAACATTCAATCAAAGCCAGGGTAATATAATGTAAAGGCAAACCTATCATCGTTTATGTCAATATCTAGTTGAGCAGATCGAAGCAACATAGGCATCACTTTATTCATAAATCTGTCAATATCCACTCTTGGGCATTGGAAGAATTGATGAAGTGCCTGCATAATGTTTACTTAATGTAGGAATGCAAAATTTAAACTAACATAACAAGGAGACAGGGGGAAGCCACATAAATGACCTATTATTGATTTCAGTGACCAAGAAATATACCTTTAAGATGTGGGTTCTTATTAAGTAATCTGTACTCCTCAATTTTTCTACGAGTGATAGGAGAGAATATATGGCCTTCACAGCATTACAAGATAAATTAGCACAGAAACAAATAATTTCATATTTATTTAACATCCTTTCATAAGAATCCATACACAAATTTCACTCGGATTCTGAATAATGTGTATGAAAATCATAAGTTTGAGCAAGATTTAGCTTAAACGATTGCAAAATTTTCTGCATGACCTTAAAAAGTGCACCTTTTATTTTCCCCTTTTAATTTCCCCATACTTTCAAATCATGATTTTAATGTTGATTTCAGTATTGTTTTCTATATGACCTTAACAAAAATTATCCATCACATTAAGAGAAACTAATTTTTTTTATTTCAAAAAAATAAAAATCAAATCAAATGTACATACAGTGATAAATTCAACAATAGTTCTAAATACTAAAGGTTCTTAGTTAAAGGAGAAAAGGAAAATCTTAGTGATTTCAAGCATAATCATATGATCCATTTTTTAAAATTGTCAAATGCAACTAAAATCTTCTTACATGTTAATGAATCCATTTTTAAATTGTCAAATACAACCAAAATCATACTCTTAATGATTCTCTGTTTTGAGTCAAATTATGTTGCACTTCAAATCAAACTTTTAGATAGATGTGCATCACTTTCTGCAACTTTCCAGATCCCTAAGAGTACAAAATTGTCCAGGTGATTAAGCAATGACACCTTATATGAAAACAACCGTTTTACAAGTAACAGATATGTCTTGTATCACTCAGCAAACAAGAAGCAAGAATTAGTCTGATATCTTTTTTTTCAGCTATATATAAGGGAGGGGGAAAAGTTTGATTAAAAAATCTAGTACCAATATCTATCAGGTTGAAGTAACCAATAAAATTAAATAAGGCCTGAAACAACTTACAAATTTGCCTTGGAAGAACCAAACAATAGGAATTAGCAGAAATACTCACCACAACAACTTCCCGTTCTTTGAACTTATCTTGCTCAACTCTCAAGACAATACTACTCATGCATTCTAGACATTTGGCACGGAGCAACAATTTAGGTAAACTAGAGTAATGAAGCAGAGTGGCTTTAAGTGAGTTCATTGTTGCATCGTAAAATTTACGAAAATTGGCCTGCATGGAACAATTACACATCAACTCGCATTGGACTTGGGGTAATAATTTAGTTGAATCAAAACCTACATCATGCTTGGACTTCAGATATTAAGACATACTGGTATCGAAACTGCAATTAATGCCAGGGTTTCCACTGCTTCTTCCTGTAACTTCTGCTTTTCATGCTGAAAGCTCACATAAACATTCAGCTTATTGTGATTACAAACAACATAATAAACCATAGAAAAATAAGGAGTGAGATTACACGAATACAGCCTACAAATATGTAGAAACGAGAATGTAAATTATATAAGTCATATGTAATGATTACATAAGCACGATACATTTGCAAAAGAAAAGTTGATAGCCAAAATTGCAGGTCATATACCTTAAGAAGTAAAAGCAATATTTTCACAATTACTTCCCCAAAAGATGCCGTTCTGTCCAATCCACAATTTGTAACAAAGAAACGAATGACTACAACAGCATATCCCTGCAGAAAATATTAAGCAATTGAATAAGTAACAAGTAAAAGGGATATATTGCAAAGGTATTAAACAACTGAATAAATAATGCTTGGATGTGTACAGAGAAAAATTTCATTGAAATCAACTTCTGAGATTATCATTGTTGTCAACAATTGGGGATAAATCTTAAATGTACAGATTCCAATATGAGTAATAACTAGTAAGTGATAAATCTTGTATTAGTTTTCCCTATCTCTCTTCTTCGACTGACTTCTTCCTACCTTCTTTCTTTCTCCTCTCCTTCAATTTAACGTATTCCTTCTTTCTGTTCTGTTACAACCTTGTTTCCCGCCAAAAAGTGTGTTTTGTTACTCTACAATCCCTTCTAGCGTACACCTTGGTAATAGAAAGGTCCTTTCCTTACTACAATATTCCCGCTAGAGCTTTCACCTTGTCCTGGTGGAAATGAAGAAATTCTCAAACACTCGGATGATCCATTCCTACATGGCTTTAAAAGGTGTCATCCCAATAGAGTTGTGGTAGTTGGTGTTGTATCAATACTCAGCCCAGTGTATCAGTACTCAGCCCAGTGCAACTACCTCAGCCATTGCTTGGGATTGGGGCTGCTGAAACACTTAAGGTAAGTTTTGAGACACCTACTCACCACTTCGGTCAGTGATGATGATCGTGGGAAAACCATGGAGTCAAACCATGAAATGAGCGTGAGCCTGCCAACAATCACCATTATAGTGTCCACCCCTTGAGTATGATGAATTTCCTCCTCAACTATATGAACTGATGACATCACTCTGAGTATTGGCTAATTCCAAATAAAGACAGAATTTGAAATCATAGTTTCGAGTTTGACTAGAGCAAGTTAACTGCATTTTTTCTATGTCATGTTGTCCAGAGGGAAATTGAAAAAATAATAATTATAATCAATTGGAAAATTGGACCTAACAATGACAGATAAGTAACAGAAAAAAAGCAACTGTTCATTCACAGATGTCAAACTCCCAAATTAGTCCGTTTGTACCTGTACCCGGTGACAAAGGCTGGTCTTAATGATGAAAACTAGTTTAGCTAGGAACTTCATATGATATTGCACATTCGGTATTAGTTCTTTATAACCACTCAAACACTTAGTAGCATGGATAGCAGCCCAAATTACGCGGGGGTGCAGATCATTTAGTAACGTAAGGACCACTCTTTCAACTTGCTCAAAGTGCTGAATCTTGTCCTGTGGCAGCAAAAGAGAATTTAAAAAGACAACCATGTACGGATGAAATCATTAGCATCGCAAACAAAAGGACATGAACAATTTTTATTTTTTAAAAAAAAAAAATAGGCAATGCTTAGACAAGCCACAAATTCATTACACATAGACATGGACAAAGAAACTATGCAAAATTTGAACTTTCCCATCAGGATTGTGTAATGTCGCGTGCGACACAAGTATCTGTTAGGAACATGATTGCTCTATTGATTAGTGGAAATGTATCCATCAAGCAGATACTTCAAAGTTAAAGCTGAATCACATAATACTGATAGGAAAGGAAAAGAATCTTATTTACCTTTTTGTGTCCATCTGCAATAGTGCCAAGAGCCATCATTCCCGCATGACGTTTCCGCCAATCCTTATCAGCTACATATGTTTTTCTTACCATCTCAAATACTGTGGGAACGACTATACTTGCATCCCCTCCCAAAGAGAGCCATCTTAGCAAGAACTTTCCACGGGTGAAACTCTCTGACATCCCAGCCTCTTCACATTTCTCATTGTCCACTTCATACCAAAGAGGATCATCTTTAACACACAACAACATGTCCATAGAAAGTGAAAGAAACCTCTTCACTTTCACAGGAGACAGATTCTTTATCAAACTCTCCATCACATTCGTGTTAACCTCATCAAGCTCCTTAAGAACATGAATCGCCGCACACCTTAGCTCCTCACTCGCCCCTTTCATTTCCAGGAGTCGAAGCATACCCGAAAACACATCACCCTCTTTCCCCTCAAAGAGTTCACCATCAATATCCAGTGAAATCAGCTCCGCCAAGTTTCGAACCCTACCCACCACAGTCTTTTCTTTCGCATGTTGATCAATGAATTCCAAGATTATTGGCAAAAGAGAAGCACCGACTTTGGTTCTCCAGAGATTTAAAGATAATCCGATCAATACAAGTGAGGCATCAAATTTCAATTCCTGCAATTTCTGATCGGTTGAGTCACTGTAATTCAAGACATTCGTGACAAGCGAAATGTATTTCCCCTGCTCCCAGAATTCTCTGCTATCAGCAACTTCCAATGGAAATTCCGTTATTAGCACGAGCCCCTTTCTACTGTTCAATTTCGAATCACCAGAAACGCACGAGCAAGCATACCCAAGAAGCTCTTCCCAACCACCTAGAGGATATTCATAAACCCTGTAAACGACATCGCCGATCGTTTCGCAGAGCAGAGGGAACAGTGATTCTTCGTTCTCCATCTTCAGTGATTCGAGGAGAGGCTTTTTGAGTTCCGCAAGAATGGAGGCATTGATTTTCCGCATATTGTCGCCGTGGGTTTCGGCGAGAATCTGGTGGAGAAGAGCCACGGCCTCGGTTCGGATGTTTAGCGGGGGTTGAAGGCTGAGGAGTTTTGCGAGCTTGAAGGAAAACGCGTTTGGGTAATGGAGTGCGAGGGAATCGAAGAGGCGTTTGGGTTTGATCTTCTTCTTAAGTGGGGTTTTGACAAATTCTTCGATTGCGCTTTGCAATTTCGAGACGTCCTCCGATTGGAGGATCTCATTGGCGTGGGGTTTGAGATCGAAACCGTGGATGAGTGATGCGTCTTGCTTTGCTTCCACGCTCCTTCTCTTGCGCGATATTTCTTCCAAGCTGTAAGTTCGCGGCGGCGATAACTGGTGGCGCGGTAGGGACACCGGAGGCGAGGACAAGGTTGACGGAGGTGGCGAGGAAGATCTCTGGATTGAGCAAGATGTCGACGCCATTGTTGACGAAGCTCCGGTAATGGAAAGTTCAAAGAAAGGTTTTGGCGGGAAGAGTAAGGTATAGTAATTGAATCTGTTTTATCTGTTATGACGGTTCAGGAGCGATTTTATAGTCATCCGGGACCAAAAAATATAGGATGGGACTGAGGTGAGAGAAAGAGAAAAAAAGGTGAGGAGAGAAGAGAGAGAAAAAAAATAAATAATACAGATGTCCATTTTTGAGTAGAAGGACTAGGTGGTCCGAGAGTATATTAAAAATTTCCGACGAATCAGCTATTTTTGTATTGTATTTCTTGTTTTGTTTTCAACGTAGATTTGAATAAAATCAGAAAAGTTTTTAATCAAAGTAAAAATCACAAGAAAATAATTTTGATTTTTTTTTTTAAATAAAAAAATAAGTTTAAAAATATTATTTCATTAATAAAATTCATTTTTTTTTCTGTGGTAGAGCACTTACCACGTCAGGAACCTATCCACAAGTACGGGAAGACTATGAAGTAACCAATGCAATGAGTCAATGACTCTAATCTGCCTTTGCTCACCCAATTGGTACCGAATCAGATATATATATATATATATGTATAGACTTTCACGCTATTGACGGCTGCGGGCTTTCTCCAACTCCTTGTGTTTTTCGTAAAAAATGAGATTATTAGGTTATATTTATCATCTTTTATAACTAAATTTTAATAGTTAATTTTAATTAATTTAATGGTTATAATTTATTAAAAATTAATAATTAATTAATAAGTGTGACATGATAAATTATAATTTTTAAATTGACAAAATTCAATATCCGCCGCTTAGGAGTAGGTGGGATCTTGACCTGGCTAAAATTCAAAAATTAGTCACATTTCTAATATGGCTAAATAACTATGACCAAAATTCTGGATAAAATTTAGTGTTAAACTCACCTAAATTTTTGTTTGCCCTAGTTTAATGAATTGGTTAGCTCCGCCACTAATTCAATAAATAATATTTAGTTGGAAGATATTGTAAGCGAAAATAAGTTGTAAATAGAATATTCCTCATTTTGGAGAAGGATATAGTTACTACCTCTTTTCTTACTACCTCTTATTAATAAATCTTAATCGTTGATTTTCGTCAATCTAACGGTTTTAATTTATTAGGTCATACTTATTAATTAATTATTAATTTTTAATAAATTATAACCGTTAGATTGATGAAAATCAATGATTAAGATTTGATAGTAAAAAGTAGTAAGAAAAAAAGATAGTAACTAACCTCCCCTTTTTGGGAAGGATATAGTTACAAACTAAATTATTTACAAATTACTTACCAAAAAAAATTATTTACAAATTCTTATAATCAAATTTTAATCGTTGATTTTCGTCAATCTAACGGACATAATTTATTGGATCATATTTATTAATTAATTTTTAATTTTTATTAAATTATAACCGTTAAATTAATAGAAATCAACGGTTAAAATTCAGTTGTAAGAGTTTATAAATATAATCCTACATGTTATTACTGTTATTGTTATTGTTATTATTATTATTATTATTATTATTATTATAAAGAACATTTGAGATGCCCAAATTCACAAACAGTTTATAAGGAGATTATTGTCACTCGATTTCTTTTTAAGTTTTTAAAAATTGCAACCGTAAGTTTTATTAAAACAACAATTTGGAATTAATGTCAATTGAAGATTGACTTTTAAATCAATTAGCACGTTAAAGGCGCGCCTTTCACTTGATTGGGTCACTTGGCAGTTGGCACTACAGATGATGCATTGTCTGAGTCTGAGTGTTGTTACTTGTTAATTAGGCAGCATTTTTGTTATCTTATGTTTAATTCAGTATATTATATATATATATATATATATATATATATATATATATATATATATATAGTGTTTTAAATTCCTATGAATTTTAGTTAAACATTTTATTATTTTCATGATCATAGTTGAAAATATATAATTTCTATTTTCAATTCTAAATTTGTATGTAACCCAATTTTCATGTGTTTGACGTTATTTGGTCATGTTTCCAAATGAAAATGTAAAATATATTAGCCAACCTAAAATATCAATTAATTGTGAGTGTGAAAAAATACAACACAAGAGTATCGTATGCAACAATGCAATATTCCACCCGAAATTGATAGTGCGTTATTATAACCAAATGTTATTTAATTTTTCAAATTCGTTTACCAAAAAAAAAACTAGAGTAAACACTCTTTTTGGTCCCTGGTGTAACATCCCCGTCTCGAGCTGGTTCAATTAACATACATATGATAAAACAGAAAACAGCGGAAGACTTAACTTCTGAAAATACGAGCTAACTTTTTCTTTTTCTTTTTAAATTCTCATTCGTCGTAAACGAAAATCGGGCAGAGTTTCCTCCATAAATCGGACAACTGGGGATTTTCCAATCCCTCACAGAAGCATTTCCTGATAAACAGTTTATACAAATATAATCAAATGCCCATCCATGGGCGCATGCATAACTTGGCTCAGTGCCACTATATCTAACAGCATGCAATCCAACATGTAAACATATCTGAATACTACTTCATCATATAACGTGCCTGAATACCCAAATGTACATGCATCAAAGCGACAGACATGTACAAAACATATACAAGCCATATACACAATAAAGGATCAATATCATGATCCATCAAATGCGAAAATACTAAAATACATCAAACACTCCAAAAAGGTAGTAGCCTACAGCCACTCAAAATCCGATCTGTCAACTGCCTCAGCCACGTGTCGTGTCCCTGCCTAGTGAGGACTCACCGGGAATCTGGGCACCTGAAAATATGTCCCCTAAGAGGGGTGAGATTACAAATCTCAATAAGCTCCAGGTTTATAGAGAATTCTCCATACCCTGGCTCACTCCTGCATGAAAGTCAGATACAAAGTATACGAATACAACATATAACAGATATCATAACAGAACAGAGCATATATCCATATCATATCAGAGATGTGCGCCGTCATTCCCAAGGGAGGACCCCAAGCGGAAATCAACGCACGTGTTCCCGAGGGAGGACCCCAAAGCGGAACCAGACATATCAGAGGCGTACACCATCAGTCCCGAGGGAGGACCCCAAAGCGGACGTCCGGGTACTATACAATCAATGGCCAGAGATTGTTACAGAAATCATATTACAGAAGTCATATCAGAGCAAAACATATCATGTTATCAAATAACTCTATATGAATGCATCTATACAAAGCATCTAAATCACAGTCATACAGTCCAACCATAGTTCACTAACCATGGTGGAGCACTCAAGCAGGAAAAGACTCCTTAAACATAGAGCTTACCTCTTGAAGCTTTACCAATACGCTTACTTGTTGCACAAGTTACTTATATGTCTTCAAGAGATTCCGATCCTTTTTAGTCCCTAGGTGCACCTAGAGCAAGAATCCACAAATACAAATCAATAAAATGCTATCATGCCTAGACTTTCCATAAGGCATACATTTTATCGCTTATCTTCCTTTCTTTATACTTTTGCCAATGTTATGCCAATACACAAGTCTAGACCACCTTATACTCGTTAGCATTCTTTCATTTTAATCAAGTATTCACTTGAGAATTTTCAATATCATTCATGCCATTTTACTTCAAAAGCCGCGGACATACCCTTAGGAAATCAAAGTATTTTTCAACCATTTTTCAAGTCATTTCACTTCTTAACTCATCAATTTTATACAATGAATTACAACACATTTTATTTACAATAAAATGTAACAAAATATACCCCTATACCACCCTCTAGGTCGAACACTACAAGGACATAGACAAAGGTTCTTTTTCTTCACTTACATGTAACTTACACATACAAATACATGTTTTCTTAAGGTTCCAACTTAATTTTTGGAGCATAAAGTCCCTCCAAAGCCCCACAAGGCCTAAACCTAAGGGCATATTTCATATAATTTTTCCCACTTTGGCATTCTCAGTAATTTATCAAATTTCCACTTAATTCCTACACATTAAACCTTCTTAATACTTAAGATAAAAATTTTGCACAACAACCTACTCTTCACCTATGATGGCCGAACATGTAGAGGAAAACATAGGATTTTTTTCTAATTTTTTTTTTTACATACATACAAATGCTTATTTTCATTTCTTAAATCCAAGACATCAAAGATTCATCATTAAATCAAAGTTTAATACACAATGCTTTCCTACCAAAACATACTCATAACTTTTATAACTCAAATCATCAAAATAATACCATGGAAATAGAGGTTCGTTACCTCCAAAAGCTTATACAAGGTCTAGAAGGTGACCAACAAGCAAGACTCCACCAAAAACCCCCTTTTTCACCTTGGATGAATAGTAATCCGAAAATGGAGTGATGAATATCTCCCTCCACAAACGAAATCAGCTCAAATGGAGGGGTGGAATAGCTTCCTTGGACGATTTCCTATGAGATTGGTATATTGGGTGGAAGATTTGGTGGCTTAACCATGGAGAAATCAAAGAAGGAAGAAGACAACCCCAAACCCTTCCCCCATGGCTGCAGCTCGGTTTTGAGAGTGAGGAGAGGAGAGAGAAACTGATTTGGAAATGAGACTTAAGTGACTTAAGAAGGTGAGCACATGTGGCCTTTTACCCGGGTATTTTTCTTTCGCGTATTTTCACTTAAACTAACCCGGAACTAACTCAAAGCTACAAATATATTTTTATTTTTCTAAAATCATTTATATTACTTTTTAATTCTTACAAAACAATATTCATAATTCACAGTATGATTTTTGCACCGTTTTTGACGAAATGCACTGTGAATCACTAATTGTACTTCATTTACTTATGAAACTTAAACTTATAAACTTATCATTTTCTTGGGCCTATATTGACTTGCTTGGCATATATTGGACTTTCTTATTCTTATTTCATCAATTATTTGTTTCTGGGCTCTACCGGTTGCTTAAACAGCAGTACAAAATACCCGGTAGAAACACTATTCACGAGATTTTCACAGAAAGTGCCAGACTATACAAT